CACTCTGAAAATTTTGATTTCAAACAAACTAAGTAACATATCTCATATCTTAAATATCATTTATTTTTTCTATAAATTTATTCAGTCAAATTCAACCATTACAATTATAAATTATTCCGTAATATTATACAAACAATCATAAAAAATCCAACCAAATTCTAAAATTTTTCTAAATTCAACCGGTACTGTTTAAATCATATCATTCGAAAATAATTTAATTTTACCACCTGAAATTAATGAGTAGCGACCATAGAAAAGGAAAATAATAATATAAATATAAAACCTCCAAAAATCAAATAAAAATCACATTCTTAAAGTTAAAATTTATTAATCTCATGTGAACTCTCTTCCCACCTAAGCTTGTTTGCTTTATTTTGTCTAATCTTGTCTCTATTACGCTCATCTTTCACCTCAATCGAAGCTCCAGATTGAAGCAATCTTCACTCTCCACAAACCCTAAAAAATCCGATGCAATTCCCACCTTAATCTCTCTTCCATCTTCCTCTCTAACCCATGGATCCACAATCTCTGTGAAACCGGAACCAAATTCTCGTTTCCGAAACCGGAAAAAAGGAAAATGCCGAGCGTTGGTGTGAAGCTCTACAGTGTCTTCTTCAAGTTTCTATTAAAGCACCGTTTGCAGAACCGGATTCAGTCTTCCGGCGACGATTCTTCATCGGATCCGTTCGGTGTTACGACCCGACCCGAAGAATCCGTCTCTGCTCCGAATCCCTTATTCACCGACGGTGTCGCAACCAAAGATATCCATATCGATCCGTTAACTTCTTTATCCGTACGGATTTTCCTTCCCGAATCTGCTCTTACGCCGCTCGAATCTACCGCCGCCGGTAACCATTCCGGTAAGGCTCGAAATCTCAACCACCTCGCTGGATCGGATCTTCTTATTAGAAGAAACAGTTACGATTCGTCTAATTCGTTGTTGTCTTCTAAGTTAGAATCTAGAAGGAACAGTTACGGTTGCACCACCGGGTCTTCCTCCCCTGCAGCTATCGGCTCGGAATCCTCCGACGCGTACAGAGGATACGCACCGTCGTCTTCGTCGCCTGGAAACAAACGAAAACTCCCAGTGATGTTGCAGTTTCACGGTGGTGGATGGGTAAGTGGAAGCAATGACTCAGTGGCTAATGATTTCTTCTGCAGAAGGATGGCGAAGCACTGCGACATCATTGTTTTGGCCGTCGGGTACCGGCTTGCGCCTGAGAATCGGTACCCGGCGGCGTATGAGGACGGATTCAAGGTGTTGAAGTGGCTCGGGAAGCAGGCGAATCTGGCAGAATGTAATAAGTCGATGGGAAATTCAAGGCGACCTGGAGGAGAGGTGAAGAAATCAGAAGTGAATAAGCATATAGTTGATGCTTTTGGTGCATCTATGGTGGAGCCTTGGCTCGCAACTCATGCTGATCCCTCGAGGTAAACAACAACCTTCCCATTTGCATTGCCTATGTTTGAAATTGAGGGGAATTCGACTCTTGTTAAGGTAGTATACTTAGCTCTGAGAAAGAACTAGTGAAGTAGAGTCATTAATTTGCTAGAAAGATCTATCTGTCACTGAGTTATGGTGATGAAAATCTGAAAGTGTTGTCTATGCTTGGGTATGTGTGTGGCTTCTTGTCTATAGAGGTTCCTCCAGCTAAAAATCTAACCTTTGATGTCAATTCTTTTGCTATGCAATGTCCTTTTATGATCTTTAATTGATCTGTGATCTACTTGTGGAAGGATTTAGTTGATACAGTGTTGTGTCTTGGTACTGGTTCTAAGTTCAGCTTCATTCTTCAACTCAAAAGTCTTTATATGTTGTTATCATATCTTGAAATTTGTCAAAAGACACTTGCTTTCTTCCGGGACTTCTGTTGCTGCTTCTCCTCTTATCCATTGGCATGACATATGGATCTCTGTTGGTCCCATTGATCATTTGGATTCTGGGAACCTTCTTGGAACTGGTTTGGGACGCTTGTTTTTTTTGTTGTTAAAAATTATCTGCATACGGATTCAATTCCTGAAATGTGCACTTCGTATTGTCAAATGTGATTCATCATTGATATCAAATGCCACACCAAAGCCTCCTTTTTTCATATATGAATGATTTCTGCTTTCACGTAATTTAAGGACATTTATCTCCAGAAGTGTTCTCCTTTGGGTTTAAGAACTTTCAAAGATAAAGAAATTAGATCCCAGTGGAGTATTTGGAACAATGGTTTCTATTTATACTTTATAAGATAAAGAAATTAGATCTCCAGAAGTGTTCTCCTTTGGGTTGAAGAACTTTCAAAGATAAAGAAATTAGATCCCAGTGGAGTATTTGGAACAATAGTTTCTATTTATACTTTATACAATTTGTAGAATCGTTGCTTTCATGTGATTCAGGTGAAAAACAATCTGACTGAGTTCTGTGCCTTCTCAAAATTTTAAACTTCAGATGTGTGCTTCTTGGTGTGAGCTGTGGTGCCAACATAGCAGACTACGTAGCCCGCAAAGCCATTGAAGCAGGTCAAAATCTAGACCCAGTCAAAGTAGTGGCTCAAGTCCTAATGTACCCGTTCTTCATCGGCAGCGTTCCCACACAGTCCGAGATTAAACAAGCAAACTCATACTTCTATGACAAGCCCATGTGCATTCTGGCTTGGAAACTTTTCTTACCAGAAGAAGAATTTAGCTTGGACCACCCGGCAGCGAACCCGCTCGTTCCAGGCCGAGGTCCACCACTCAAGTTCATGCCACCGACACTAACCATTGTCGCAGAGCATGACTGGATGAGAGACCGAGCGATCGCTTACTCAGAAGAGCTAAGGAAAGTCAATGTAGATGCTCCCGTGCTAGAGTACAAAGATGCAGTACACGAGTTTGCAACACTCGACATGCTTCTTAAGACTCCACAAGCTCAAGCTTGTGCAGAAGATATCGCGATATGGGTCAAGAAATACATCTCTCTCCGTGGCCACGAGTTCTCATACTAGCGTTCACCACGAGTTCTCATACTAGCGTTAACCACGGGAATCTTCAGGACGCAAAAAGAGGTGAACCGCAAGTAAACAGGGTTTTGTTTTGCTGTTTCTCCGGGGAGCTAAAAGAGGTTAACCCCGAAAATTAACCGGGTTTTATTGTTTGTCAGCTTCTTTGACACAGTTACCTTGGAAAGCAAGCGAGGGGTTGGGTTTTCTCTGTGAGTAGAGTTAGTTTAGAGAGGTGTCACTTTGTGAGATGGGTCGAGTCAAGAAGACTCTGAAAGCCTTTGTTGTCTCGGGGTATTTCCCGTAATATTAAACTATATTATACGTTCGTCCTTCTCTTCATTAAAGAGTTTCCTGCTTTTGTGTATCATCATATCAACAACGTCCAATATGCTCAACCGAACCAAACGAAAAACCATTGATCCGAGTACCAAATCTTATCGGGAGAACTGAGAAGTTATTCGGTAAATCAGATATTTGTAAGTTTGTGATCCGAATCATGTATTTATTTCCCATCTGTACATAATAGACTAATGCACAGCTTCAATGATAATATATGAGGGATTCAAGAGACATAAATAGTACAATTTCTTTAGCTCTTTTGATAAGGACGATGTAATAATTCAAGTTCATCGAATCACAAACTTAGTCCGATGCCGAAGACCAATTAAAAAATTTGGTGGACTAGGTTATATTGGCTCACGGTTTGAGACTAATCAAATGGGTTTAATCAGTTTGTAGTTTGGCTATATTAATTCTAGTTTGATGCTAATTCGGATCACCTACTAAATTATTAAAGAAAAGTAAATAAAAGGGAAATAATATTCAGAGTGCCAAAGATGATGGGCTAACAATCGAATATTTATTAAGAATAAATTTTTTAATTAATTAAAAAATTATAACCATCAGTAATAAATTGAGCATCAGCCGTCATTGTGACTTACATTCATACATTAACACACCAAAAAACCGATAAAAAAAATGGCGAATTTCTCCAGTATCCACGTTCTCTTCTTCGTGTTCATCACAAGTAACAAAATCAAACACAATCTGTTTATGTTCCCTCTCTGTTTCACATCATCTTCTCTGTTTCTTCTAATTTCAAAATTTTACTCTTTTGGTTTGTCTTCTGAATATTGCAGGCGGTATTGCTGTTTCCTCCACCGTCTTCACTCTACAGAACAGTTGTCCTTACACCGTCTGGCCCGGAATCCTCTCCGGCAACAGCAACAATCTCGGCGACGGTGGATTTCCCTTGACTCCAGGAGCTTCCGTACAGCTCACGTCACCTCCGGGATGGTCAGGCCGGTTCTGGGCTCGTACCGGCTGCAACTTCGACTCAACCGGCCGAGGTTCCTGCGTCACCGGAGACTGCGGCGAAGTTTTGAAATGTCTCGGAAGCGGAGTTCCTCCAGCTACTCTAGCCGAGTTCACCGTTGGATCAGCTGATTCCGACAAGGATTTTTACGATGTGAGCCTTGTCGATGGTTACAATGTGGAGATGGGGATAAGACCACAAGGAGGAGGATCTAGAGATTGTCATTACGCAGGCTGTGTTGCTGACATTAACGAGATTTGCCCTAGCGAGTTGCGGATAATGGATCCGTATAACACTGGAAACGTGGCTGCGTGTAAGAGCGCATGTGCGGCGTTTAATTCGCCAGAGTTTTGTTGCACCGGTGCTCATGCGACGCCGGAAACTTGTTCTCCGACGCAATACTCGGCGATGTTTAAGAACGCTTGCCCTAGTGCTTATAGTTACGCTTACGATGATGCTACGAGCATTTTCACTTGTTCTGGTTCTAACTACTTGATCACTTTCTGCCCTACCCGGTCTTAAAAACTTGGAGCTCCGGTTAAGATTCGGATCGGGTTTCTCTCTCTCACGTTTCCTTTGCTTATTATGAACGGAAAGATGATCTTCTTCCATTTCGAAGACGTTTTTTTCAAGTATTACACTCATCACTTTTTCATGTTGCATACACAGAAATAATATCGAGAATTTACAGGCATAAAGATTTATGGGTGCATTGAACTATAACTACTTATTAAATGTATTCTTTGACCAAAAAGAATATGTTTTAACCAATTTTTTTTTGTTGTACTTGGTGATTACCTACTTAGAGCACTCATTCTAAGCCCGGGTTATCTTTGTGTATGATTTTGTATATTGTTTTATATAATATCAATTTACGCATATGAGTTATGTCTAAGAAAGTTTATTATGAAATTGTAATTAAAATCCTATTTAAAAAAGAAAAAGCATATATAAGATTAACATGTAATGTAACGTATATATATCCCATGGAATGTGTAGCTTTTAGAATATAGGTTTCAATAGAGGAAGACATGTAGAGTTAGTTGAGAGGTTGGAACTGTTTAGGCAAATTTTTTCGTCGTATATGAGTCCAATCACTACGGATAAAGCTCATGCATAAATAAACAAACACGTAGCAGTTTTGAAAACATTAGGTAGAGAGTGTTAGGACTTATGAAGAGAATGACTAGATGGTGATCGAAAAGGAGGTGAGAAGAAGTATGACAGTCAAGGAAAGCTCTAATCTAGAGATAATAAAATCAAAAGAGACTAAAATTTGAAGTTAATTGTAATAAGTAGTGAAATAAATGTGTGTTAAGTCGGATCACCCATTTTATAAAGAAAAATATACATAGATTACTTGTCTCGAGCTAGTATATGAGATCAAA